TATTGTTCACGATGAGAGTTAAATTCACATTTTTGTGGCCCACAAATAATTTCATCTAGATAGTTTTGACCCACATATGAAAATGTTTGGACACCCCTGGTTTAAAGGTTATTTCCAAAGTATTTAGAGTTCATCATTAGAGAAAATATATATTTTTTTAATAAGTGAAAGCATTTAGGACAGCGTCGTTGAAAATGTCTTGATGCATGCTCAATAATCCAGGTTGAGTCAGGTCCTCTGGACGGATTCTTCTTTGTTGAAACGTTTTGTCTTTTATCCAAAGACCTTCAGTCTGAGGCGCTGCAACAAACTTATGAGAGTTGTAAAGGAGAGAGGAGTGAAGGAAGCCATCTTTGTGAAAATAACCCATCCATCGTTAAACAGGACGGAGGCCTTCTTACAATGCAGTTACAGCTTGTATCACTCAGCCCTCTGTGAATAGCAAGTGGTCATCAGAGCACTAACAATCAATTGTTAGGCTGATGGTCCTCTTTTTGCATGTGAACAGCTAGTTCTGGATGTGACCAGCAAACTGGTTGATCCACTATGAAGAGTTGCCATTTATAAGACTGAGTTTGTTGCAGCTCCTCAGACTGACGAAGCCTTTTGGATAAAAGACGAAACGTTTCAACAAAGAAGACTCCGTCCAGAGGACCCTACTTAACTTTGTTAGATTTAGGACACCCGGCCTTCTCTTGAGTGGACTCCCCATCAAATTCACAACAAGGTGAGAGAGTTGTGTATAAACTAGTGTCTGAAAAATCTCAATGAAGTGCTGAAACGTTGTAAAGAAGAGTGGGCCCAATTTCCTCCACAAGTATTTTAGAGACTGGCAGTGCCATAAAACAACTACTTCAGGTTATTGCTGCTAAAGGTGGTTTAAGAAGCTGCTGGATCATGGTCTGGACTTAATTTGTCACACAGCTGATCAATTTTGCTTTTGTTTGTGAAATAAAGGAATCTGTTGTGTGTTTTTGTACAATTAATCTTGTAGACCTGGTAAAAACCAGATCAGTTTTATGATGTCCTACATGTAAAACCCAAGAACTGAAAGAGAGTGGATGTTTTTCCATCATTGTTTTACACATCAAATAATTTTCTTTTTATTTGGCTACATAATGTACAAACTTTATATTTTTGATGCAGCAGGACATAAAAAACGATTCCCAACAGCTAAAAGAAGAACGGCGCCCTTCACACGAGCTTGTATCAACAGATTTTAAATTTCAAGTACAAAGCCTGAATGATGATTATGCTAATCAAGTCCGCGTCTGAACGCATATATCCGACTCGTGCCAATGGATGATTGCGTGCGCATGCAGTGTGCACATAACGGGAGGCTGTCATTCACAGAGCAGTGTGTGTGTGTGCTTTGTTTTGGCTGCGGGGCTGTTGGTGCTGCCTGATAATGTCTTCAATCATCTCTCCTGTCAACACGGCTAAATCTAGCTGCCCTTGGGAAAAGTTGTGAAAAGGTGAGTGCCAATATTGACAAACAAATAAATTCTGACAGAGGCGTGACTTTTGGGCAATCGGTCAAGGCTGCAGACACGGGCCTGTGGGCACGAGCTGCAGAGGCATTGTCAGATGAGACACCCCGTATTTTACTTTATCCTTCAAGTCACGTGGAATACTGCGAGGTTTATAACACGGAAATAGAAGTCTTACTGTTTTGCATTACACTGACATTGTAATAAACGTAACACTAATCTAAAAGATAAGATGAAGCGGCTTAAAGCATGTAGTGGTAAAAGCTGTCATTTGCATGCGATGCACAGGAACTCCAGAATTATCTCAACCGGCTAAATATAAAAGTCGTCAAGTGTTTTGTGCATATGCAGCAGACGAGCTTTGCCTGGAACGAGAAGAGCCACGAAGGCCCGATGCAGCTCTCCAGGTAATTACTGCAGACATAAAGAGGAGGAGGAAGAGGAGGAGGTGGGAACGGGATTGGAGTTTGCAGTGCAATTGATGGCTACTTCATGTTCTCATTTCCATATGAACAGTGCTCTCTGAAGCCATTTGCGTCAATCAAAAAGACTTGTCTGCCGTGTCTCTTGCCCTCTTACCTGCCTCGACCTATTTACTCCTGTTTTTGAAAGAAAAAATCAATATGTGGCATGTGCTTTCAGGTGTGTAGCTTGAGTTACAAAGTCAGCAGTGATGACACAAAAATGACTTGAAGTGACTGTTTTTCACGTGGTAACCTGAGTATAATCAGATTATCTACTGGAATTTACCTCCTCGAAATTCATCTCATCAGGACTGTCCCAGGGCTTGAAAAACTTTCCAGTGCGCTGCTTCTTCAAAGGCACGACGACGACATAATACCCCCTAAAAAAGAAAAGTTTAAGTGAAACATATACTGCAATACTAGACAATGTGAAGTAGTATCTTTTTTAAAAACATTTGATATTTTATCATAAATATAGATTTGATAATACAAATAGACACAGCCAACCTACAGATAATAACCCTTGGCTATACCACATTCAATATATTTTTTTCTTTAAAAGAATTGTGCAAATAAAAACCCACAAATTAAAAATACTGAAGTACCTATGCCAAGCCTCCAGGTGGCGATAACGTCCCCACACAAGCACTTTTAAAACAGTAACTGTTACCAATGTGCTTTACAAATGAATTTGACTTGACACACATCATTATATATATTTGACACACATCATTTTATATATATATATATATATATATATATATATATATAAACACACACACACACACACAAGTCCCTCGTTTATCACGGGGTTTCCGTTCTCAGTCCACCCGCGATAAGCGAAAAACCGCAAAGTAGGAATAGTAGTACAAATAGTAAGTAGCACTTTATTTGAGTATATATATATATATATATATATATATATATATATATATTTATGTATGTGTGTGTGTGTGTGTGTGTGTGTGTGTGTATGTATGTATATAAAGGCGTTTTAAACTCAACAATGTTCAGTCAGGTCATCTGGACAGTTTCTTTTTTGTGCTGAGACATTTCGTCCATCATCCAACGGACTTCTTCAGTTTGAGGAAGCACCAAACAAAACTGATTCTCCATCAACAGCAAACTGCAGTGTGGAAAAGTAAAACAGTTTGCTGGTGCTAAGATGGCCATTCTAAGTGACTGTTTTGGTTGTTCCTCAGATTCAAGAAGTCTGTTGGATGACGGACGAAACATCTCGGCACAAAAAAAGAAACCATCCAGATGACCTGAATGAACATTGAACATTGTTGGATTATTGAGCATGAAGTTTGGCGTTTTAAATCCTTCACACACTTGCAATATTCTAAACAATGTTTCTAAACTCTAAACGCTCTAAAAAGCCCAGCATGTCATGATCTCTGCTCTCTGCCTCCAGCTGCTCTCTGCCAGCGCTCTCGGCCACGCCCACTTCTCCGCTGCAGAGCAGAGATCGACAGAGGAGGGAGGAGGAGCTGCGGGAGGGAGCTTCTCCCTGCACATGTGGGCTGCAGACAGGTGCAGCATGTGCTAAATAATTTTAAAGAATTTATTTTAAATGAAAAATCCATGTTAGTCTTGAGGCTCATCCATCAATCAGCCAATTGTGTGTTGTGTCCAATCTTACTTTGAAAAACTGCAAAAGAGCGAGTCCACGAAAGTCGAACTGCGAAGTAGCGAGGGACTGACTACTCTATATATATATGACATGTCCTAACTCCAAGAAAGAACAATTTGAGCAAATAAAAGCTTTTCAGCAAACTATGCGTACATTTACTTACAATTTTAAATCTTAACACAAGTCTAAAGTTTATTAATAACAGGGTTATTACAAATCATCAAAAATTTGTAAATATTATGTAATTGGCTAGGGCATGCTCAACATACAATGAACTAATGAGGACGCGTGAAACAGACTCAATAATGTTTATCAAGGGTATTCTCAAAACTTAGTTCATTTTATCTTGTTTTCTCAATAACAACAAAAATAGTGTGTATGTGAATTACAAGTGAAAACAGCAGACATATTGTTATGCAAAATATTAACTTTAATGTGAGCAGGACTTACATTTTTTGAATGTCTGCCTTACCGAGGTTTAGCAAACCAACCAGAAACAATAGAAAACTCAAGAGTCATTGGCCAAAGCAAAACACGGTTGAAGATCATATATTTTGCTTAGGCCTGCCTCACTGTGGTGCTAAAGTTGTGCCAAAACCATGTAAAGTAGCTAGCATTAGCCATTCTGGCAGTGTAAAAACAGGGAGCTAATAATAGTTTAAGCTTTGGCATAAGAAACAATAAGACAACAGCATCCAATAACATAGCAGAAAAAAGTTTGAAGCCTCCTTGTAAAAGTGAATGTACCCCGTAACCCTGTGACAACCCCATGTTTTGTTGAAAGGCTGAAGAGACGTTACATGGCTTACAGGAGCATGTTTAAATGAGTCGGGATCTTTCACTGCAATGACTGAGGTCAAGTGGATATTACTCCAAAATGCAAGGATGAATATAAATGACTGTTTGGAAAAATTACCCCTGACAAGGTCAGCTATCAAGTTAAGTTGTGTATTTCCATTCACAGAGCATCAGTATAAAACAGTTATTAAGCTGTGGCTTTAACAGACAGAGGAAGGCCAACCATTACTGGAGTAATGTCTTCACAAGTCAAATAATCAGCAAAAAGATACATTTTTATTAGGTTAAATTATATTGTATTGACAACTAACAGTTGCAAGTGGGGGAATCTGTTTTGTAGAGGTGCCTCCCCAAGCTAATTCCATATGCAAACCAAGTCATTGGCTAAACTTAGAACTGGCAAAGTTTCGGTGAAGGCCAGTTTCCAAGGAATATAAAAGTTGACGAATGCTTACCGTACTCTCTCAGATGTCTGCACGGATGGAAGTTCAACAGTCACCATTCCATCCGAGTTGGTTTTGCCAATCAAGTAGGGTTTGGTGCGAAGCACGTCTGGAGCCGTCATGGTGGACACTCGATGCTGCAGACCTCCAGCACTGTTGCCACGATTGGTCAAGAGGAAGGAGTATTGCGTCTCTGGTTGAAGACCTGTGATTAGCTTCTGCGTTAACTTCCCATCCACCTCCACACTCTGCCCGTTGTCGTAGAGGATCTGATAGGAGAAATGAGGAAATGTTTCACATAGATAATGTTGGTAGATTCTGGCTCTACAAACTGAGAGGCGATGCTCACAGTGAAAGGTTGTGCTGGGTTGTAGGATTCCGGGATTTCCCACATCAGTAACACGGATGTCTTCATAGCAGCTTTCACGTGGAAGTTTTTTGCAAACACTGCTAAAAAAAAGGTGGGAGCAGATGATTTAGACACAAAATATCATTCTTTTTTCCCCGTTTTCCAAAGATCCAACACTAGTGCTTACCTGAAAATGTCTCCTTCATACCAGGCTGAAAGAAGTACTATGCTGAACACAAAACTGTCCTCTTACCTTTATACCAACACCAACTTTTAAAATTAATGACTTGCCTTTACTTAACTGACAAGACACAAAGACACATACATACTTACTCAACATGAGTGAGTGTTAAATTGTAGGATAAAAGAAAAAAAGGCTAGTGATAGGGTAGAATGTTAGTACCAGAGTCTTTTGGTTGGCTCAACTTCTGCCATTTGAGGCATTTGGAGGAAGTTGTGGTTGTACAGGAAAAGATTGAAAGTTTAAAAAAGAAAGGGCTAAGAAAGTTCAGGGACTGGTCCTACCTTGATCCACGGGTTGTGTTCTGAATTGGACACTTGGGCTATAGGGACCAGATCCCTTGCTGGTGAAGGCACACATTTTAATATCGTAAGTTGTCTCTGCCCTAAGGCCATCCAGGAGGACTGTTGATTCCGGGGCAGTGAAGAAGAGTTCAGAGGGACTATGTGGGCTGTTGATGTCTTTGTATTGTAGAGCGTATTTGATTATTCGCCCATTTTGCTCTGCCTCCAACACAGGCTGCCAGCTGACCTGAACTGTGGAGGTGGTGGCGCCCTCCGCTTCAATGTTCTGAGGGAAGCCGCTTGGAATGTCCTCATTTGTGGTGACTTCTTTGACTGTCTCTTCGCCAAAGCCTACTTTGTTGCGTGCTGAAAGACGGAAAGTGTATGAAGCTCCCTTATGGATCTCTTTTGTTGTATAGTGGTTCTTTCCCTCTGAGAACTCTATAATGGTCAGCGGATCCACATCTTTGCGACCAAAGCGAAGGCGATAACCTTGCAAGGGTCCGTGGGTTACTGCTGGGGGGTGCCACTGGAGTAGAGCTGTGCCCATATTGGTTGTACTGACCATAAGTCGAGGTTTCTCTGGAACTAATTGCAGCAGTGGAGGAAAAATAATCTTTTAGGTACATACCGTTTTCTTCTAGTATCAAAGTGTTAACAGAAGTGCAGATTTGTTTTCTAATGCTTACATTACCTGCGCCAGTGGTGGTTATTAGTTTGGGCTTGCTGCGAGCGCCGTCGCCTTTTGTTGTGTAGGCTGTCACCGTAACTGAATATGTGGTCTCAGCCTGCAGCTCTGTGATGAACATTTCCTGAAAAGATACAAAACTTAAGCTACAGTACTTTCGTTTTCCCCCTTTTGCAAACAGAAGCAGGATAGATGTGGGATGTGACAGTGCAACAAAGGCATTCGCTAAAAACTGAGGCAGACCTCCATCATTAAGAGAATCCTTGATGGACTTCAATTTACAAATGGGCAGTGATTTTTAAATATTCTGTCTTAGTCTGATTTTGAAAAGAATACAAAGAGGAAATTGCAGTCCCAGATAAATTACAACTTTACTGCCAGAATGTGTGTCCACACTTTCACATCGATCCATCGAACCAGTTAATTTAAAGAGCAATTTTGCTTGAAATGCCCATGCCTACTTGTACTCAGAAATAATTTGACATATAGGAAGTTACTTTTCTTGTTTAAAATTAATTTTCTAAGCAATTATAAAGTTCCTCAGTTCAAATTGTAATTTCCTCTTTATAAAGCTTATCATGGACCTCCATCACTACTTTTTGTTGGTTACCATTATAAGCTGGGAACGTGATGCAGTGTTATAAAGGAATATTTGGCTGAAAACTCAAAATAAGCCATGCATGTAGAAAGAGCAAGTAAATACACTTTGCTACTCACATGATCAGTTGAATCATCATACTCCCACTGATTATGACATTGAAAACAGAGGAAAAATATGAAATAATGTTAGATACAAACAACGATGGCTGAGAAAATACAGAAGCACTAAATATGTGTTGAAAAATGAAATATCACTAATTGTGCATTTACATATCAACAGATTAATATCAAATTCCTTGCATCTAATTGAACTGACACAATACCTATTTATGTATATATATATATATATATATATATATAT